GAGTTAACATGATACAGCTGTCCTGCAGACAGCTGGAAGTGTCCGTGTCCCTTCCTCTGTGGAGGCGAAGGGGGTAGAAAACTGCTGTTTGCTGAAGTGTGCACACTCTTCTGTGACACATTCTTAACCAAAGGAGAAAATAGGCGCTTATGCCGCTGGTGTCCGTACCGATGACGTGGTTGTGGCTGTCGTTCCCATAGCTGCCACCTTACCCACCTCTTAAGCACCTCAGCTGGTCCTGGGTCTCTGTGGTGGGATGGCAGCATATTTGGTGACATTAAAGTTTTTTGCCAGCCTGAGCAACATAATGAGAACCCAGGAATCTCTACAAAAGATAAACATTAGCTGGGCATGGTGTCACAGGCCTGTAGTCCCAGCAGTTTGGGAGGCTGAGGCAGGAGGATCATTGGAGCCTGCGGGTTCCAGGCTGCAGTGACCTGTGATAACGACACTGCACAGCCTGGGAGAGTGAGACCTAGTCTCCTTTAAAAAAAAAAAAGTTTATTAAATTTCTTTCTTTCTTTTTTTTTTTGAGACAGAGTCTCGCTTTGTTGACAGGCTAGAGTGAGTGCCGTGGCGTCAGCTTAGCTCACAGCAACCTCAAACTCCTGGGCTCGAGCAATCCTCTGCCTCAGCCTCCCGAGTAGCTGGACACAGGCATGAGCCACCATGCCGGCTAATTTTTTTTCTATATATATCAGTTGGCCAATTATTTCTTTATTTATAGTAGAGACGGGGTCTCACTCTTGCTCAGGCTGGTTTTGAACTCCTGACCTTGAGCAATCCGCCCGCCTGGCCCTCCCAAGAGCTAGGATTACAGGCGTGAGCCACCGCGCCCGGCCCTATTAAATTTATTTCTAAAGTCAAAAAGTATGTTCTTCCTTTTTAAATGCAACAGTGATAGTGGGTTTAAAAATGTGGAAAGTGGAAATGAAGTGAAAGGACAAGTCCCCTCCTTCCTTTGTCCTACCCCAGTTGAAGCCCACAGGAAGAACAGTGGTCATCGTGTCACTGCTATGACTTGCACGGGTGTCATCTTCTGTCTTGCTCTGCAGCGTCTCATGAACTCTTGCTGTCGCACATACCACGTCTTTCTTGTGTGGGCACCTACTCTTGTTAGCCGGTTACTTTCACGATCACTAATGCTTTGAATACTCAGTGCAGTAACTTGCCCATGTTTGGGATGGTTGAGGTCTCTGAAGTAGGATTGCCAGGTTGAAGGGCTTTTTGTTTTTTGGTCTTATTTTGGTGGGGAGTGGATGGAGCTGAAGGTTTTAAGAGGTGTACATCTAAATTGCTTTAAAAGGCAAGAACTGGCCAGGCGCGGTGGCACACGCCTGTAATCCTAGCACTCTGGGAGGCCGAGGCAGGCAGATTGCTCGAGGTCAGGAGTTCGCAACCCATGCCTGAGCATGATCGAGACCCGCCTGTCTCTACTATAAAAATAGAAAGAATTAATTGGCCAACTAATATATATATAGAAAAAATTAGCCGGGCGTGTTGGCGCATGCCTGTAGTCCAGCTACTCGGGAGGCTGAGGAAGGAGGATTGCTTGAGCCCAGGAGATTGAGGTTGCTGTGAGCTAGGCTGATGGCCACCGCACTCACTGTAGCCTGGGCAACAAAGCAAGACTCTGTCTCAAAAAAAAAAAGGGGCAAGAACCAGTTAACAGCGTATTACATATAACATGGTAACTTTTAAGTGTACATGTTTATTAAAGTTTTCTTAATGAATTTGTTTCTTAGCTGTATCATTGTGACTTACAAGTGAGAATTCATTTTCAGGGTAACTTTTATGAATCTTAATATTTGAAATTATGTGAATTAAAATTCAGTGAGTACTTGAATTGTAGAATATCTAATTTAGGATACAGTATATCAAGCAAGATTACAAGACTTTTTTTAGAGACAGAGTCTTGCTTTGTTGCCCAGGCTAGGGTGAGTGCTGTGGCCCCAGCCTAGCTCACAGCAACCTCAAACTCCTGGGCTCAAGCGATCCTCCTGCCTCAGCCTCCCGAGTAGCTGGGACCACAGGCATGTGCCATCATGCCCGGCTAATTTTTTCTATATATATTAGTTGGCCAATTAATTTCTTTCTATTTATAGTAGAGACAGGATCTCGCTCTTGCTCAGGCTGGTTTCGAACTCCCGACCTCGAGCAATCCGCCTGCCTTGGCCTCCCAGAGTGCTAGGATTACAGGCGTGAGCCACCGCACCCGGCCTACCAGATTTTTTTTTTTTTACCCTTGGCTGGGCGTGGTGGCTCATAGGTGTAATCCTAAGCACTCTGGGAAATCAAGTCGGGAGGATCGATTGAGATCAAGAGTTTGAGACCAGCCTGAGCAAGACGGGCACCCCATGGCTACTGAAAATACAATTAGCTGGGCATGGTGCTGTGCACCTGTAGTCCCAGCTACTCGAGAGGCTGAGACAGGAGGATCGCTTGAGCCCAGGAGTTTGAGGTTGCTGTAAGCTAGGCTGATGCTAGGACACTCTGGCCTATGCAACAGAGTGAGACTCTAAAAAAAATTGCAAAAATAAAAAATAAAGCACTTTCATGGCCCCCTTTATTCCATACCGAAGAATCTCTAAACCAAGTTATTTTGCACTCTAAAACTTCATCTACATTGAATAATTCAATTTTTGAATTTTTTTGCAATTTCTCTTTGTCAGTGCTATAAACATTAGTTACAGTTTCTTTAAATTCATATGGCAGCTAAACCCTTATAAGTAGTCCACAAAGTATCCAGCTTTTGGGTGCCTCTTGAACCAGAGCCTGAGTGATACCACTGTTAAGTGATCTTAATGTTTTCATTACAAGTTACATTAAGACAACGATTCTTAAAATTATGAAGTCACCTTGTTTAGAAGCTACTTCAAAAGCTGGTATAGAAGGAAACCCGTCCCCGTCCCCTCTACAATTTTTTCAATAAAAAGTGCCCAGGCTGGGGTGCTGGGCTTTAGGAGGTGTCATCGTGGCCCTCACGGCCTTGCGCTGCTGGGTGTGAGCAATCCTCCTTGCAGCTGGGACTGCAGGCGACCACCCCGCCCAGTAGGGGAGGGTAAGAGAATTATTGCATAGTAGATGTAAACTCTGCTGGTAATGTTTATGTCAGAGTTATTTAGCTGCCGTTTGTAGAAAAGCTAGGTAGAGAACTTCACTGGCACTGTTGGTGTGCAGACCATGGCAATAAATTAGAAAGTTACTACGTAGAATGCCTAGGTTTTATTTGAATTGGACAAATCTCTGTAGCCTCTGGAGAAATTCATATGTTACAGCTTTAGCTATGCTGTAACTTCTTTCCTTTGTCCCTACTTACCTTTCAGCATGGGGGGGGGGCGGGCAGTGAGGTCTCTTTCTAAACTAGTTTGGATAAAAATTATCTTTTAAAAAAATATAAATGGACTATTTTTAAAAGGATAGTATTTTATTCTGGAATGTGGGAAACAAGTGGCAAAGTCAGCACGAGTATTTGGGTTAACTTGCTGGCCGTGCTGATGCCCTGGCAGCACCTGCGACTGGGCCCGGGGTACTGGCTGGGACTCTGCCCTGGGTGTCTGTGCGGGAGCCGGGGGCTGTGCACGCCGCCTTCCCTCTCCTCTCTGCCAGCGCTCTGAGAAGCTTCAGCGATCAGTTCTCTAAGTGTTGCTTCTTCAGGCCCTGCTTTCCTGGACTGCACATTAGGTAAAGCTGCCTGGCCACTTTCTTTCAGAGTAGGTCTCTCTCACGGGGCGTCACATGCTCACCTCTTCTCCTTTTCCTCCTTGCCCCAGCAGAGCTTCCCCGGCCTTTGCTGCTGCTTCCTTGTTGTTTGCAGGTCCTTGGGACAGCAGGGGTGCTCACCTGTGTGCAGGTTCAGAGCACGGTCAGCGTGGGCTTCAGGTGCTGCCCGGGCGTTCTTGTTACGCTTGTTGCTTCCTGCGTCTCAGTTGGTGCTTGGATCCAGTGCTCGCTGCTGTCGCCTGCAGTGTGGCGTCTACCCCTCGTTTCTGGATGACTCACCTGTACCAGCTGTGTCCATGGGCAGACTCCTGCCCCTGGCTTGGCACAGCGGCCACAGCAGTCGGTGCTGTGTGTGTGTGTCCGGGACTGCCGCTCTCCTTCCTCGCGTGCATCTGTGTCCTAGCACAGCCACGAGGGTCCCTCGCCTTTCTCACAGATCTCCTGTTTCCCGCAAAAAATAGAGTGCGTGTTAACAGAACCCATGTAAATTAAAAAAATACTCCGTATAACTCGTGTTTTCAGGTAAAGTACTCATTGATTGAAGACAGCAGCAAAGAGAAACGAAACTCTGGTTTCTGGTCTGCTTTCCGGGAGCATCTCTGTTTCCAGGAGCCGTGCGCTGCCTGCTCACGCCCGCCATTCTGTCCAGCGCTCAAACGCAGTGTAATGTCTGCCAGTCAGCGTTTATTCTAATTTGGCTTCTTCTAGTCCTTCTGAAAACTCTTTCTAGACATCAGGCTTATGAAAAGTAAAGGAATTCCAGATGTTCTCAGCCCAGGCTTGCCAGCTATATGTTTTGCTTGTTTGGCTGTACCGTTTTCTGTGTTCACATATGTGCATGTTCATATATGTTCATATATGTCTGAATTTGAAGAAGGCAGCTCGGACGTGGAGTAGAACAGCCTAAGTGTGAAGCTACCTAAACCCCTCAGATGCCTACGACAGGATCGGGGTTAACAGGATGTTAAATAAAAGGCTGTATTAAGGCGGTTGAGTTTGAAGAAAAGCACGTTCTTGATCCTGAGTTTTATGTGTACATGAACACTGTTTCTTATTAGCGGCTTGGTTATTTTATAATGTACTGCAGCTTCTGTTGAATGAAACTGTTGGGGGAGGTGGTGTTTCGGTTACTCTCTAGGTGAGCTACTCCGTTGTCACTTCTTGTCTGTGTTCCGCTCCTGGTGGAGTGGTGTTTTGTAAGGCACCCACCCATTTCCTCTTCCTGTAGCTCTCCCAGGAAAAGAGACTTTACAATATGCATTTATGTTTGCTTTCAGAAGACCCGTTTGAGGACTTTTTTGGGAATCGGAGGGGTCCCCGAGGAAGCAGAAACCGAGGAACAGGGTCGTTTTTCTCTGCCTTCGCTGGATTTCCATCTTTTGGAGGTGGATTTTCTTCTTTTGATACAGGTATTAAAACTCTAGATATAATCTGTTTTCTGAACAGGAATTAGTGCTTATAATCAGAATATTCTTTTAGTTAAGAGTAGTTTAAAGCATGTGTATTCCTTTTGATAGAATAACTTTGTAGATTTGCCAACTTTTTTTAGGTGTACAAATCTGTGCTTAATAACCTACATTTTCCCCTAATCTTCCCAAGAATGTTGTACATGAAAACCTACTTCATATCTTACTATTAAAGGCCAGCATTTAATGAAATTCTTAGTTATAAAAGGGGCAGTGTTGTATTCTGGGTAAGGGCAAAGTTACCCACTTGGTTAATCTCAACAAATCCTACATGTTATCTAGCCCCCATTTGCAGTTAAAACAAAAGTGCCGTAACAAGACAGAATCCTAGGAGTGTCCAGCTGGAATCAGAAGATTGTGCTTTAATACGGTCCGTGGCCAGGCTGACTCCCTAGCGAAGCGTAGAGTGATATGCACCTATCATGTAGTTGTGTACCTTACCTGAAGAAACAGAACCTTGTCTGCCAATGCTTCTCTTTAAAGCCCATCCTGTTCCTCTTAACGAGGAGCTGTTGTTGGTTCTGATTCTCTTAGTTTTTTTTAAGTCTCCATGGGAAGAATTAGAGCTTATTATACACTTTGCCTTCTACATAATACAGCTCAGAATTTTATTTCCCTTTAATATTGTGCTGATAATGCTTAGGTGGGTGGTCTACTTGATTGGTGTGCTTTCCCAAGCAGGTCCTCTCATGCGGTGCCATGTGGTATGCTAACCACAGGTTAAGGGACAGTAGGAGAAAGCTGATGAAAAATATCAAGAGAGTAGCCCCTCATTTAAGACATGAGTGGCTAGCGTGTGTGGGGTGTGCTAGAAATGAGTGGCCAGCGTGTGGGGTGTGCTGAAGCTGTCCCTGCTCTTAAGGAGCCTTGCAAAGATCGTGTGGCCCTGGGCTCTAGGCCTCTGTGTCCCATGTGGCAGCCACTAAGTATCTGAGATGGGGCTGGGCCAGCTTGGGATGTCACAAGTGTGGACTGCCCTGGAGTTCAAAGACCTAACATGAAAAGCAATGTAAAATATCTCCAACAACTTTTGGTATCACAAGTTGAAATGCTATTGTTTTGGATATACTGAATACATTGTTAAAATTAATTTCACTTGGTTTTAGTTTTTAGTGAGGACATTAGAAAATGTAAAATATGATATGTGACCCACAGTATTTCTTTTGGACACCACTAATCTTGGAGAGCAGTAGAGCTTAGGTGATTGAATTGTGTTTAGGAGTATGTGTTATTTGTTTTAACGTGAACATTTTGGAAATCAGACAAATATTAAGCTCTAAACTGACACTTCCAGGCAGCTGGCACTGTACAGGCAAACCTGCCTTGATATCACAGGTAGGTTTCATTTAGTGGTAGCCATGTAATTGAGAATGGTGTCTATGAGCTGTGGAACCATAATTTTTCAGGTAGTTAGTTACTTGCAGTGTAACTACAAGTATTTACTGTAAAATTGATTTTAGCTTTTTAGTAGTTTGGATTCCTATCCCTTGTGTTCCCATTGCAAGGAGAAAGTACCAGTTCTGTGGTGGTGCATGTTGCCACCTGCCCCCTCTGTATGGGTCATACTGAGTGGACCTCCCACAAGTGGGGAGGGTCTTTGGCCTGTTGGAAGTGCCAGCTGGGACCCGCAGGGCGCTGCCTGAGGAGAGGGAGGGGAAATGTGACGGAAAGACGTAGCTGCCTGTGCTCTGTGTTCCTTGAGAACAAGAGTTTCTGGTTAGAGACTCCACAGTTGCCTGCCTTTCCCGTGGGCATGTTTGCTTAGGCTGTGCTCTCGTGGTTTGTTACTCGTTATATCCACGTCTTAGCATAACATGGTCTACTACGTTTGGAAGTTCAGTGGTTTTTGCATTAATATTTGACATATTTGTCTCTAATCAGCTTTCTTTTCTGTTTGCCTGCAGGATTTACTTCATTCGGGTCACTAGGTCATGGGGGCCTCACTTCGTTCTCTTCCACGTCATTTGGTGGTGGTGGTGGGATGGGCAACTTCAAGTCTGTGTCAACTTCTACCAAGATAGTTAATGGCAGAAAGATCACCACAAAGAGGTACGGTGGCAGTGTATGTTCTGTATTTTTTTTTTTTTTTTTGAGACAGAGTCTCGCTTTGTTGCCCAGGCTAGAGTGAGTGCCGTGGCGTCAGCCTAGCTCACAGCAACCTCAAACTCCTGGGCTCGAGTGATCCTTCTGCCTCAGCCTCCCGGGTAGCTGGGACTACAGGCATGCGCCACCATGCCCGGCTAATTTTATATATATATATATCAGTTGGCCAATTAATTTCTTAATATTTATAGTAGAGACGGGGTCTCGCTCTTGCTCAGGCTGGTTTTGAACTCCTGACCTTGAGCAATCCGCCCGCCTCGGCCTCCCAAGAGCTAGGATTACAGGCGTGAGCCACAGCGCCCGGCCTGTTCTGTATTTTTGATAAGCGGGCACCCCATGCTTATGTTGCCCATGCCCCAGAGCGGGAAGGGTAGGTTGCATGCTCAGTGTGGCACCGTGAAAATCTTTTACCTCTAAAGTAATTATAGCTTTTCCTTTTAATGTGTATTTAGTGTGAATTTATTCCCAGTAATCACGAGTGCCAAAATACTGAAAGTGCAGTAATGTAATACCGCATGCATGACATGTTTCCCTGGCGTTTTCAAAGTGGTCAAGGAAAACTATTAATAGTGCGACCTTTACTGTTTTTTACTAATGGTGTCTTGTGTGTATTTAGCATTTAGGTTTATGGTGTTTGATACAAATTTTGTTTTTTTCAGAATAAATCTATTTTAGGAAAGAAAGATTCATTGTGAACAAGCTTGCCTCTGCTGGTTTTTTCAGCCTGAAATTATGTGTTTTCCTGTGTTTATTGCAGTAATGTTCTTTAATAATACTCATGTACATTCACACACATATTTACTTTAAAAAGTTTTAAAATTTACTTTCTCCCGCAGAATTGTCGAGAATGGTCAAGAAAGAGTAGAAATTGAAGAAGACGGCCAGTTAAAGTCCTTAACAATAAATGGTAAGGAGCAGCTGCTGCGCTTGGATAACAAGTAATTCAACGCACGCGCTTAACAGAAATGTTAACTATAACAAGCACCATTTGAGGATTAACAGGAACTTTTTTTTGAAGATTTCAAACGAACTCGACTTTGAGTATCACTGTACCTAAGTATTTATAAACCGCCCATTGGAGCCGTGTTTGTCATAGACTTTTGAGTTTATTGTTGGGACCACATAATAGGACCATTTTTTTGTCTTTAAAATTGTTGTAAATCTCTGTATGCACTTTGCTTTTTTTATTAAACGGTATTCAAGGTGAGCCTTGACTCTTTGGTAGTGGTAGAACGAGATTGTACACTAACACCAGCATGGACCTGCTTTCCCATTGTGTCTGAAACGTGAGCCAAGTAGTGTCAGCCTGCTGTGAAGTTAACCTTGCCAGGACGAATCTTCTACAGAAATAATTTCAATTTTTTTCAGTATTTAGTAATGAAAGATATTAATGCATTAATGGTAATACATTTCTGGTTTACTATAAATTAAGGATGTTTTCTAGTTGTGCATGAATGCTGGCAACTTAGTAAGTTTTGACAATTGTTTAAATATGTAATGTTAAGCTTAGGTTTAAAAAGTAAAGCTGGTAAACTGGGTCTTTGTCATTTGCTTTTAAAAAAAAAAAAGAAAATAAATGCGAATGTGTTTGGTGCATTCTTTCTTGAGTGGGATCTGTGGCCTTCTTGTGTCTGTGTGTGATTCTGTGCTGGGCTTCCAGTGTCCCTTTACCAGCCTTTCGTTCTGTTCCTGGGGGATGCCGCACTCCAGTCACGCGTAGACATTTTCCTCAGTGTATTGGGAGAGTGTATGGAGATGTTCACATTATTAAGTAATGATTTAGCAGTTTATTAAACATTTTATTACGGTAACATTTCTATGGGGGAGGGAAGAAATAGTTATATAACTTTTTCATTCTCAAAAGTATGTTCTAATTTTTTAGGATATGTTTGATGTAAGATCACTTACGGACAATATGCTTCGAAAGTCATGGAATGATTTAGGTGTGAGCAAAAATAAAGGAATTTCTTTTGTTTCTCAATCTGTAATCTTTTGTGATCGCCATTGGTAACTAGGATTCCAGCCTTAAAGAATATTAAACTAGACTTGGATTGCATTCAAGCTATCCTGTTCTGTTTTGTTTTGGAAGTAAACAGTGTGGACCCTGTTAGCGGGATGGGCAGTGTGCTGACGCCAGTGCTGGCTTCACGGGAAGACCTGTGGGCCTCGCTCATGACGCCAGAGCCCTGGAGGAGCCTGTGTGTTGTAACTGAAAATACCTAAAAGGTATTTTATGAAATTTCGTAGGAGCTTTCAAAAGAAGCATAGCAATAATTATTTGAAGACAGTTGAACTGGAAAGCAATGCCTGAATGTGTTGTTAGAGGTAACCTAGCATGCAGCTCTGCATTTCTCTGGAGAAGGTAGGTATGTCCCACTTTGGAAAGCAGCTGGCATCTTTTGCCTAGTGTTGTAAATACAGTTTCACTACTAGAATTTTGGTATCATAATGCCTACTTTCATTTATGCTGTCAGGACAGGTGGATTCTTTGTTCCTAAATGAGACATTCAAGTAGATAATTTGGACTTCAGAGTTTTATATTTCTCATTAAAGGTTCTGGGTGGGCTGAGACATTTGATGGACAGCAGCCTTGAGATGTCCAGGTGTGACCAGAGAGACCAGGTAACAGCAGAAGTCTTGTCTATTCTATGATGTGTTAAAGTCATCTAGGAAAAATTTCATTATTGTTCTGGTGTAACAAAAATTCTGAACACGTTAGAATGTTCCAGATTTTGTAAAGTTTTCAGCACAACTCTAGCTGTAAACAGTTAATTTACTCAACACTGTGTTATAGGTAAAAGATGTGTAACTCTTAAGGAATCTTTTTGTGGAGATCTTTTTTTTTTAAAAAAAAAAACAGATCTCATAGTCATATGGTCATCATTTGCATATGAGAAAATTAACTTAATTTTCTTCTGATAAAAATTTTAAGTTATGAACAGGAAACTCATTTGTTGCTGTCAAATCTTACTGCCTTGACTTTTAAATACACCGGTTTTATTCCAATGTGTGTGAAAGCCACAGGAGAAGCTATGAAGTTGTTTTTGGCATTGGTAGCATCATTCAGATATATGATGGTTTGCAAGAATAGCCTGTAGTTGAAGTTACAGGTTCTTGTAAATTCCAGGGTGCCTTTACTTGCTGTGGTTTGAGACATCCGGTGGCATGGAGTGTCTCTGAATGCAGGCAGCTGCAGGCTCATTCAGAAGCAAAGCCGCTGTGTCTGCTGTGTGCGGCTCCGCTAGGTTGTGTTTGGCTGTGCTCACCTCCTTGTGTGGGGCGGACCTTGCTGTGTCTCTGCCCTTTTCACCTTCCCTGTAATTGTGTCCTTCACTAAGCACGTGCCACAGATTCCAAGGAGTCCAGGTGTGGTGCTGGAAATGCAGTAAGTGGTTTTTAATACTACGAAGGGTGTCGATGGTGGCTCAAGTGATGGTTCCTCATTCTTCCTCTTTGGAGTTCTTTCAAGGGCAGGTGTTGGGAGTTAGCGCTGGCATTACCGTCCGCTCTGTGCATGCCCAGCCTGTGTGTGCCTTGCCTGCTCAGATGGCTGTCCCGTGCAAAGGTAAAGTTTGAGAGACATCGTGGTGCGGTCGTCTTCCCAGTCCATTTGAATTTCTGTTTATTGGCTAATCTCCTAAAGCTTTAAAATTCCTATTTACTGTGTCTTGGTTACCTGCTAGCTGTCAGTACTCTCTTTGGGGAATGCCAAACTTGTTGTTCTTGTAAGCACTACAGAGTTAGTTAGCAATGTTATTTTCAGAGGATCCAGTGGTAATATATGATTGGATGTTACCATCTCTGCTGTTGCTTCTCTCCCTGTCTGTGGTGAGGAAATTTGGTCACCAGCATGGTCAGTAACAGCAGAGGCAGATGTTACCATTTCTGGGGGTTTTCAAGCACAAAATTATGTTTCGTGCAGTTGCACACTCGATAATGTGGGGTCACGTGGGAGTTGAGTCACCTGGCCCAATCAGTGCCTTTTTGTGTGTTTTTAATATGGGCTGATATTCTGTTACCTTTGAGGTCTTTTTAAGGTTGTCAGGACTTTTGTGGTTTAATGTGGTGCGAGTCCTGTAACAAATATGTTGCCCCTACATTTGCTTAAATTATTAAATTCTTCCTCCGTTAGCATTTCCTCAGCTGTTAGAATAATTCTAAGTTAATCTCTGCACTTTCAAGAGCTGCTTGACTTCAGAAAGCAAATCTCATTCTGAATTAGTCTTGTACAGTTGTGTGGCGACTGTTACATCTTTCTAATTCTTGTGTCTAAACTTTTGGCAAATTTGCAGTTCCCAGCTTCTCTAGGGACATGGAGTATTAGATGTAGCCCTTGGTACTAAAGTCTTAACAATTGAGATAGGATAGGCTAGAGACTTTATTTTTGGGTAAATTATTTTTTCTTAGTGTTTATTTTTTTTGTCTGTCTGTCTGTCTATCTATCAATCAATCATCCATCCATCCATCTATCTATCTATCGATCGATCGAGACAGACTCTCACTCTGTCGCCCGGGCTACAGTGCCGTGGTGTCAGCCTAGCTCACAGCAACCTCAAACCCCTAGGCTCAGGCAATCCTCCTGCCTCAGCCTCCCGAGTAGCTGGGACTACAGGCATGCGCCACCATGCCTGGCTATTTTTTTTTCTTCTATTTTTATTTACTTGTCTAATTTATTTATTCATTTTTATTTTTATTGGGGTCAGGGTCTCCTCATTCTTGCTCAGGCTGGTCTTGAACTCCTGACCTCCAGCAATCATCCCACCGTGGCCTCCCAGAGTTCTGGGATTATTGGTGTGAGCCATTACGCCCGGCCCATCTTAGTGTTTAAAAAGATAAAGTAAGGGAAGCTATTAATGCAACGGCCTTTACTGTATCAGAAATCTTCAACTCAGTATGGCCACTGATTTCCGAAGACCAGAACTGGCTGAGTTTTTTGGGTCTTGTTAGAAGTATGATTGGCTTCAAAAGGCTTGTCACTGCTTTTGTAAATATTTGCTTCCTTGCTTTTGTGCAGGGTGTCAGTAGATCTTAAACTGTTTTTTTCCCCAAGGAGTTAACTGTGAATTTAATGTCCTGGGTGAATTAACCACTTTGGTACGAGCGTCGACTATAGTTGATAGCCACAGATGAATGCGCACAGCCAAGCATCGACTTTAACCGACTGCTGTGATATGACTTTTCTAATTTTTTATTTATGAAAATAAATTGTGAACATTTAAAAATAAGGTAATGAAAACATATATGTTAACCTACTCTGATTTACATTACAAGTAAAGCTGCCTGTAAAGTAAAACAAGCTTTCAGTGCTTTAAATCTTTCCTCATCACACAAGAGCAAAACGGATTCGTCAGTGTGCAGCACAAACTACCGTGCGGACTGTGAGTGCCGGCTGTGGTTGAGGTTTCGTGGCTGGTGAGCACCTGAAGTGATTAAATACTCAACAGAGAACCCTGAATAGACTTTCTCGGTTTCCTCATACCCTCCCATTCAAAAAACAGAAGATTCCTACCTTGGAGTGCAATCCGCCGACGGGAACATGGCGCATAAGGGCAAGAGTTCTGTTGGCCGTGTCCCAGCTGTGTGCACAAGAGACGTCCCCTAACCGTGTGTGGAGTAAATCCAGAGGGACGGTTTCTGTCACATGCCACTCATTTCAGGGGTGCCGGTCGATGGCCGTCACCTGGTTGTGGAGGACTTTTGGTGGGGATCGACAGGAGCTTCCTCTTGGCTTGTGGCGTTTCTCCGCTCCTTGCAGCACCGAGTGGCAAATGACGATGTGTGGTGTCAAGGTCTCACAGTAGAGTCGGCAAACCCTGCGGTTTATTACTGTTGTGCCCCGTTAGGGTTGTTTGTCTCTTGAGAAGAGATCAGCACTTCGCCCAGTTCTCCCGACGTCTTGGACCAGCT